ATCAATAAACTATTCCTTCCTCTTTTCAAAAATCGAAAGTCTAGTTCTTTCAACAGCTTATGGAACGTAGATCTTTTAAAATTTGGCAGGTCCTCATCATCATTCACTTGCTTCAATATTTTATCTATTGTAGGTATTTCATTCCTGAAGAAAAAGTGATGTACTTTTCTTCTAATGGCACTTTTGTCAAAGTCATCTATTTTTTCGATGATTTTTTTTCTCGCTGGATATGTTTTTGGCTCAGATAGTGTGTGATTTTGTCTATATTCCTTCAAGATTTTGTAAACACTTGATCGACCTACTCCAGAAATTTCAGCAACCTTACATACGATATTTTCTATAGCCAATCCACTATTCTCTTGCATCTGGTTCTTGTAGATATTTAGAATAATTTGTTTTTCACCTGCGCTAAGATGAAGCTTTTTAGCCCTTTTGCTGGGTGGCGTTAAGCTGATTTCAAGCACATCATCAGCTGTATCTGTGTCAGACATTTTAGCCCTTTTGCTGGGTGGCGTTAAGCTGATTTCAACCACATCATCAGCTGTATCTGTGTCAGACATTTTAGACTAATATTAAATTTCCGCGAGAAAAATCAAGTCAAGACGTGCATAAAACGTTCGCGCTCATAAACGGGTATCCGTAACTGATTACAATCCTGTGCGTGGTGACGAACCATCAACGTGACGCTGAGAGTTCCCTCTACTATGCAGCGTTGCCAGGCTTAATGTCACAATGATCATGTTTTATTGGGAAAATTGTCAGAAATCGCCGAATGTTGAACAGATACATTACAAGAAGTCTAACCTTGAAATGTGAGGCTACAAATCGATATTCTTATAGGGGGGAAGGGTAGGGAGCTGTTATGGTTCCTATTAACCTTGGTGAAAGTTGGAAACGGTAATATCATATATGGCATACATTCGGTTGAAGGTGTGTGCACGGAAAATAGATTGCGGATAGGATTTTAATAGATAAATCTGCACAAAAAAACACAAAAGGAGATTTTTGTAGTTCCCTGAAGAATATCTCAAGGTTATTTCAGATCTACTCATCGAAACTTTATGGAAGGATTATCGAAACATTATTTTCAATTGCGATAGGGCCACATACCTCGACATCGCATTAATGTGAAAAATAAGACAATAGAAAAAAATTCCCTCACTGATGCTATCTCTTAGGAAAAATTTAACTATAAAGATTGCACAAAAATTTTCTTCACCTTTTTGAGCTTGTTTTCGCATCTCCGTATATGCCGTTCATAATTTGCTGCAGATCAAATTGGAATATACCTTTGTGATGCCATTTATTGTTATATAATGTCCTTTACAACAGTCATTGCACGTATTGCACCAACAGATTGATTTGTGATCCATGCGAATGTGATCAACCACTCTGGCGAATACTCGCCGAGCGTGGCAACCGTGCGACTTCGTCTGGAGGCTCTGGAACCACTGTTTACGATTACTTTGTAGCTTCGTTAGATACGCTTTAGAAAGTCAACGGTACGCCACTGATCTTTCTTAAAATAAAAAATCAAATCTGTATTCATTTATGAGCAGATTTAATCTTTTGAAAGTTTTAGTCCGACGCACCGTTGTCACCAAAAAAATTCGAGGCAATTTCTCTGCATGGTGATACTGTTATATAGTCGAAATCACGAAAGATGACGATTACGTCATCATTTTAGTCTGTAGTAAAGACAAACGACAGCGATTTGTGAATATATAATAATAATAATAGTGTTTATTGTCACAAAATACAAGTAAATATCAAATATTGTGCACAATAAACATAAAAGACCCAAAAAAAGTTTGCACTTGTGTTTGGGTTTGTACAAAATAAAAACTAATAGGACAGTCAGTGTATGAAAAAAAAAAAAGAAAAAACCCGTTAATACTGTATAATTTGGTGAATTATTATGGTAATGTCAGGAAAAATATCCAGACAATTAGAACTGAAGTAAAAGTATGGATGTTAGTGTAAGTAAAATATTATTGATTTTGATAATGATTTTTCAGATCTACAATTTCGTGGATGGAGTACCTTGGTTGTTGTAAAATCCATTTTTTTAGTTGTTTTTTAAATGATTTATTTGATTTAATTACTTTTAATGACTCTGGTATGAAGTTATAGAATTTTGGTCCCAAGAAAATCAGAGATCGGTACGACTGGTACGACCATCGTGCATGCCTAAACAAAATCGAGACTCGTCACTAAAGACAATATTGTTCCATTCCTGATCCCAGAGTGACCGTTGTCTGCACCACTCAAGGCGATTACGTCGGTGTAAGGGTTAGAAGGCGACGTGGTGAAAGGAGGAATCCACAGTTTTTTGTTGAAAGACATGTTCATCACACTGTTGGAGTTATGGTTTGGGGTGCGATAGCTTATGGTTCCAGGTCACCTTTAATCTTCATCAGAGGTAACATGAACGCGCAGCGTTATATCCACGAAGTTCTAGAACCCCATCTTTTACCCTATCTTGACACCCTGGCAGATCCAACTTTCCAACAAGATAATGCCCGACCACATGTTGCAAGAGTCACAATAGACTTCTTTCAACATAATGATGTCACATTGTTACCATGGCCACCAAGATCTCCCGACTTATCCCCAATTGAGCACGTGTGGGATATGATGGGTAGGAGATTGCTCAATTTGCAACGTCCTCCTCAGACTCTAGAAGCACTTCCAGAGGAGTTAGTGGTTGCCTGGAATGAGATACCACAGGAGGACATTGACCACCTGATCAGAAGCATGCCTAGGCGCGTTGGAGAATGCGTAGCACATCAGGGTGCATCCACACATTATTAAAGGTCAAAGGGCTTTAAAGCAGTGCAATCATTTTGAAATTTTTATCATTTACTTATTATGCTTCATTAAGTACTTATACAAAATTTTATTAAAATAAAACCATTTAAACTGGGTGTTCGGATTTATATGTCACTTAGTATACTTTGGTCTTTGGAGTTCCTGTCTTAAGGTATTCTACTCATAACTGTTTTTTTCAAAACAAAAACTCCTCACTAAAATTATTATTAAAGTATCAATCAAAACCATGAAATAAAATGAAAATAAAAATAATCAGTGAAATAACCTAACTTCGCAAAATCATAATATAAATTTGTTGTCATTATGTTTCTGACTCGTGATTTTATCATCGACGTACGTCCATTGATTACTTCAGCACAATTTATGGTATGACGTAATTGTCATCTTTCGAGATTTTGACTATATTAACGATTTTCTTGTGATCATTTATTTTTTTAACCGAAAACTGCATCGGATTGAAAAATCAAGCGATCAAGTACCAGGCAAAAAACATATGGGATTGGACCACCAGTCAATTGTAATGAAAAATCGTATAGAGTAAGTTCAAGTTGGGCTGATCAAATTTTTCAATGGGTGCAAAGTCCAGATATGTGAAACAAATGACTATCTGATAATTTCAAGGCCTGGGAAATTCTGCTTTTTTTAAATAACTACAATTTGGCAATGCAATGTAAGACGTATGATACATTTTTGGAATTAGATTTAAAAACTGTATTCATCTGTGCAAAAATCCAATATGGCGTCCACAAGAAAAAATTAAGCTGATTCTGGAGGACAGGAGACGAAAAGTCATATTGAAGTTCTAATTATGCCATCTTGTAGAGGAGAAAAAGTGCTAATGTTAATGTGCAAGTTATTTTGAAATCCTACTACTAATAAAGCCAGGAAAAAGTTGAACCGATTTTGGGAAAATTCTTTTTTTTTTCGTCTCTCTCCGGAAGTATTTTGGGTTTGAACTTTCTAAGCGGCATCTTCTTGATTACCTAAATACGCAACTTTGCCCCCATTTAAGTGACTTCGTATCTCTTACATTTTCCGAGATCCCAATGGCCGAATTTGAAATACCCTGTATAAGTGATATCTCTGACATTTTAGAACACTACAAAATTCAAATATTTTACGGAAGATACATTGATATATATATATATATATATAGCACATAAACATTTGGACACTGCTTTAGAACTGTTAAATAGTGATATTAAAAAATTATGAATTGGTTAAATGGTAATAAACTCAAATTAAACAATAATAAAACAAAATGTATGTCAATAGGGAAACATTTAGGTGACAATATAATCATGATTAATGATTAAAGAATTGAAGTAGCCGAATCATTCAAACATCTGGGTATATATGTGGATAGTAAACTACAGTTTCAAGAGCATTATGAATACATTATTTCAAAAATATCAAAAAGGTAAATTGCTTCTATAGAATTCCCCATAATCTCAGTGTGTATTAAAAAAAAATGTGTATAACACACATGTATAATTCTTCTCCATTTTTTATATTGTTCAACCATCCTATTTACAGCAAATGAAAACAAATTTTCAAAATTACAAATTCTACAAAATAAGTCTACGTTAGAACTACAGTGGTTGAATGTAAAAAAATTCATATGTTATTTTTTAGTTCTCATTGTAATATTCAAATTAAAAAAATAATTTATTACCGCCACGTTTAGGCAGTATGGATGTTTATCTATAAAATTGTAATAGCATAACTAGCAAAATATTAAACAGTGTTCAAATTTATAAATGTTTAAGGTGAAATTAAAAAGTCACTTTATGAATACTCAAAATGCAAATTTTAATAGATAAGATTGTAAAATTACAGAAAATTGGTTCAAAAAAATGGGTAAACGAATAATTATACAAAATTGATATTGTACCATTAATGCTGAATAAATCTTCAACAAAGAAACAAACCGGTTACATCTCGAAATCTAACAAACTTCTAGAAAAGTCCTCCCTAGCCAACATAAAAATACATAAAACCTACAGATTTCGTTATAAATATAGCTTCTGTTGTCAGACAAATCGTTCAACTACTTCCATAAATTGTTTTTTGTCTGTTTCAACAAAACCCGCTTTTTCTCCCGAATCTCTAAATTTAATAAATGCTCAAAATTTCTTTGCTACGAAACTACAAATATGTGTTTGCAGGTGCTACGGCAATAATGCATACGAGGGCGATACAAAATCCATAGAGGTCGAATTCATTGATTCGACATTCCACAGCAGTATGATGATTAGAAATTATTTGGACTATACGATGGGTTCTATAAGTAAAGGAGCTCTTGCTGTAGCAAATTCTAGGTAAGTAACCTAGTAGGGAAGTGAGCATCCGTTGGATACAGTACATAAGCCGAGCTCTCAAAATTGTCAAAAGCATAGTTTAACTCATACATCACCATTTCATACTGTCTGAAAGAGGAGCCAATATTAAGAATGTCCACATTCGTATGCTGTCCATTTCGTTTTCAACTTCATTTGCAACTTTTCTTTCAACGTGTCTTAAATTGTACGTCTCACAATGTTGGGATATTTAATCGGAAAAACAGTTACACGCATTGTGTCAAAAGCAATTTCGTGATAGTGCAAAAGTAATCACGTGACTGTTAGCGCTTAAAAGTGATCAATATATATGTCAGAGGATCTCAACACAAAGCATTTACGAGTACTTGACATAAATAAAGCATTGATAACGACTACAACTCGCAGCACTGGCTAATCGAGTGTCAAAACCTAGTGAGCAGTTTTGAATTATCTATTCCCAAGTCGCAAATAATTATGCTATTGATATCGACATACAAGGATAAACGTATTTTTGCTTGATTTTGAAAGTAAACAGGGTTTCCTCCATGCTTGCTTCTCTCCAAAACACAAATATCCATAGTTCTTGTTGATTGTGACCGTAATGATAATCATTAAATGACCCGAGCGTCAATAATGACTTGTGTTTTTTTACTCTTAAAAATCATATCTCTCCACGTATCGACCACGTGACTAGATCGTCCATATTTGACACTCTCATGAAGATGCGACTTATTATGCATGGATACAAGCATATAATTGCTTTTTAAGAGGTTTGCTTGTGAGATGGATCGGACAGTTTCTATCACCATTTAGCGATCTCTCAATCACTTATATTTTAGTCAGCTTTATGTGATACCTCTGGCAGCTGTTACAAAAGAATGGATTCTGAAAGTTGAAGAACCAGAGGAAATTATTTTAATAGCCAGCTCCGAAAACTTGGTGTGCTTTGCTATGAATAACTATATAGTGCGCGTATGTTCTATTTATGGCACACAGAGGGCGGTAGTATCGGTACCTGGGACACCTGTCACAATGACTGCAGCAAAGAATTGCTTATTAATTGCTTATCATTCCGCACCGCCGAGAAATGGCGACCAGTGTATTAATGTGAGGCAATTCCGTTTTCAAGGTAAGTTATCCATCATAAATGTAATCATTTATTATGTAGCATATTGCAAAGCCGTTTTACTATTCACTTCAAAAGATACCGCATCATTCTTATGGAGATCACGGCGTTTATTGTGAAATCTTGTTTTAATATACCTGAGGTACTTATGTAGCATATGTAGCTAGTAAACCGTTTGATCTAATCAGTATCATACCATATCATTTATTCGTCACATTTTATACAAAAACATACATGTGAGCTATGAGGTGCTACAATCTAAACTACAAACTATTTTATAAGCTAAGCTTAGGTCTAGTGGGTTAAAGTCTGAGACTGACTGCAAAAATGATGTCTTAAATACCTTGATATACCGAAGTGAGCATCGTCTCGAAGGAGAGTATCAGGAGCTCCTCAATCAGTTTGAGGAATACACTGCTATCTGCAATAAAATCCATACCGGTAAGCCGAGCATCGGCAATCGTCTTAGCTGGAAGAATGCAGAAAGCGTTCATCCTCGGTTCCCTCGCTCTACTAAGAGCACACAATTTTCGGACCAACTAGTTGCACACGTCAATATGTGACGAGTGGCTAGTTGATAACGGAACAGCAACCTGATGTGTCGGAGCCCAGGTTGTCTATTTTTATTTCCTTTTCTTCAATAATGATCTTGTTAGATAATATATTGTTTAAAATTTGTAGACAACGTAGATGTTTCAGAAGTTTCAATGGCGATTGAAGATAACTTATCAATCGAAACGTTGTGATCTCAAAATTGAATAGACAATAGAAGTCCGCATTAAAACTTTTGAAATAACATAATATATAATAATTACTTCTGGAATCTTCATCGCAATTCAAAACAGGCATCTCATTCAATAAAGTCTTGAATTTTTTCAATATTGACCCGAGAAATCGCGAGTAATTACCGCATTCCTGTAAGGAAAAAAATTTAAGGTAAAAAATGATTGGATGCATTCATATAGAGCCTCCTTGACTTATAGGGCACAAAATTGTCATACTATACCAATTTTGAATATTGTAATTATTGTATACTACGAGTAAATTCAAAGACTTATTACTCGTATTTATCTCATTATTTGGACAGTTTAAAAATAATGTTACTTGATGAATTGGAGTAGTTAAAAATGTGTAGGAAACGAATGTATCGACGTTCGTTAATAGTGAAATATTGTTACAGGGATGTCCATGGACTCCAAAGATATAAGTTGTGCATTGGGCCCAGAATCGACAATGAGTTGGCTAGGATTTTCTGACAAGGGCACGCCAGCCATACTAGATTCATTGGGGATGCTTTACATGTATCCTCTCGCTACTAATACTTGGATCCCCTTTTGTGACACTTCTAAACATGTACGTATCAACGTATTATATAACGGATGTTTCAAGGTGCTGTGTTGCACTAAAATGCGACATTAAAGCTTACAGTTTTTCTGAAACTGGTGTGCAAAGATAAATGAAAAAGTTTAATTTTTTCAAGCTTCTTACAAAAAATGTTATCTAACGGCAATTGTGTAAGATTTTATTACAGATATAATATCGGGATCACAAATGTGGGACTTTGAATTGCTAATGTCTACTTCAAAAACAAACAGGTCGTAGAATATTTCTTAAAAGTTGGGTTATACTCGCGCATGACTAAATTTTCCCAGGTAATTCGACCTAACAAATACAATTTTTCAATTTTAACTTTTTGTCACTCATCTAGGTTATAGATTAGGTCAAAGTTTGATATATTATACGGTATGTTAAACACATATTTTTCGATAAAAATGCATTTTGGTGATTTTGTTTTTATGATACTGTAGTACACCTACATAAATCACTTACATCGTGAAATATTGCTAAAGCATGCATTTAATATCAACATTACATCATATTTACAGATATGGAAACAATTTAATTGATTGTAACAACAAATTGGGTCCCAAAAATGTCATTTTCGGTTTTTACTTTTGTCTGACGTCTAGTAATTAAAACATTTATAGGTGGAATGATAGCTTTTTAAAAAAATATAAAGGAGATACCGATCAGAATCTACAAGATGGGGATGAGATACGGTTAGAATCTCAATTATGGTTTAGTGAGAAAAACCTAAAGGATTGAATTACTGTTTACATGAAATATACAGAAATATTCCTGATTTATAGTTAACTGAAGAAGTCTACCGATTTCAGGAAAACGGCAAAAATGTTAATCAGATAATTATAAGTTAGCAAAATATAGCTGAAATCCTTTACTTTTTGTAGATTCTTTGGTCTTGAAGTACCACGGCAAGTGATTGTGATTGTTGTGTTGTTGCATTGAAAACTCGAGGTATTCTGGCCATTATACTACAATGCGTAGGTTGGCTCTTGTTGGCGACTTTGTGTGTCGTTTTTAACCCTCTCCATCTTCGTTTCCTCAGTTCCACCCGTTTCTGGATGTATGGGCATGTATGTCTACTTTTGTAATTGCATATGCGCATTCATTTCGTGTTTGATGAAGCCAACAAGGAGAAACGATTATTGCCCCCGTTACCTATCCTATTTTCTGCTCGAATCCACTTTCCTTCTTTTTGTGGATTTTGCCCATTATTTTTTATATTTGTTATATACCTTTCTCCGCATGATCCTTTCCTTCTTGTAGATCCTTTGGGCTTGAAGTACCACGGCAAGTGACTATAACCGGCTGCGTGGTTGTGGTGCCTTGAAAACTCGAGGTATTCTGGCCATTATACTACAATGTTTAGGTTGGCTTTTGTTGGTGACTAGTGATTCTATGCATCTATTAGACATATTTGAAAGAAGAAAACGGTAAAAAAAAACAGAATGAAAAACATTTTGTTTTCTAAAGTTCAAAAGTACGAAAATGCAATTAAAAACGGGAATCTCGTTAAACTATGGGTTGGTTTCATCTTGAGATTTATATCATTTATTTTAATTGTACAGTATAAGCAATTACATTTAATTGGCAACATTCATTGATGATCCGGCTTGCCTATTCGGACAGGGAAAAAAGTGGCGCCAAATGTCATTCGTGTTGCCTGACGGCTGTCGGATTCCTATGAGTAGGCGTTTTTTCCATTCTGTGGTAGCGGGACCATTGTTGGAAAATGGGTACAAAAATGTGTCTACTCTAGTAGCAGAGGCTATTTATTGCCTCTGCTCATTCTGTGGGACTGGCTGTGGATGGCTGGAGCAACATCAGAAACGGGCCTGTTAATTTTGTTATTACAACGCCAACGGCTTACCTCTACAAAGTTTTACCGACAGGAAGATCATCTCACACCGCAGAATTCATGACTCAAGAAATTGGTTCTGTAATTGCCGAAACAGGACCTCAAAAGGTATTTGGTCTCGTAACAGACAATGCTGCTAATACGCGCCCCTTCCCACTTCATTTGGCCCAAGTATTGAAGACTTAGTTTTTTTCTTATTAAACACAAATAATGAGAATGTAGCAGGGTGTTATAGGTTTAAAATATTAACAATGAATATTTTGAAAATATATAGTAGAAAACACAAACTTGATCACTCCCTAATCAAATTTGCAGCATAAAAATAACACATGTTGCAATTACAGCATATCAACCTATTTTCATTTCAATGCAAAATAAGTCTATAACGCATAGGTAGCTGTGAAAAATAACAGCCATGACAATTGTTTTTATTAATCACAGCCGTCAGAATACGTTTAAAATAGTTTTGGGTAGTTAAGGTTTTAAAAATGGGTAGAGGAAAGGTTACTAGTGAGAAAATTCGGTTACTGATAATTAAATTTTTTAATTCTGGGAAATCAAACTCAGAAATTGCAACTTTGTTAGACGTATCGCGGTACAGTGTGAGATATATTGTTAGAAGATATAACGTAACTGGTTCAGTTAATATTAAGCCACGATATGTGAAAAATCGACTTAGATGGGCTAAAGAACATAGACAATGGACACCTCAACAATGGTGTGCAATACAATGGAGTGATGAGGCCCGATTCGAAGTTTGTGTTGGTGACAGTCGCAGTAGAGTTATTCGCAAAAAAATGAAGCATTCCATGTTGACTGTCTGAAGAGAAAAGTGAAATTTTCAGCATCCATTATGGTCTGGGGCAGTATGTCATCAAAAGGAGTAGGAAAACTTCATTTTATTGATGGAAATGTGGATACAAACAAATATTTGGCAATTTTAGAAGAATCGCTTTTACCAGTGATGGAAGAATGTTTGACATCCGGACAATATTTTGTGTTTCAGTAAGATGGTGCAGCGTGCCATACCTCAAAAAAGGCTATAACATGTATGGAAGAAAATAATGTACCACTTTTGAAATGGGTTTCTAGCAGTCCAGATCCGTCACCTATTGAAACTTTGTGGCACGAGATCAAAAAGGTTCTACGACAACATCCTGCTCGTACAATCACAGAACTGAGACAAAAGCTTCAAGAAATATGGGATTGTTTTGCACCAAATTTTTGCCAAAACTTGGTTAACACTATGCCCCAAAGAATTTCAGCCGTAATAAAAAATAAAGGTGATGTTACCCAATGGTAATCTTTCAATTGTTGCTTTCTTAACTTCGCGCATTTATTCGCACATTGTTTATTTGTTCAGATGTTCTATTAGTTATAGGTCTAAGTGATTTCAAATATGTATTTTTTACGACTAGAGTGTATCTAAAATGCTTTTGAGAAAATAAATTGTTTTAAAAGTATCTCATCTTGAAGTGGGCCAACTGAAGTGGGAAGTGGCTCGTATATGAAGGCAGCTTGGAGAACCCTTGACGTGAAGTATCGAAAGGCAAACTTATTAACTTATGGTTGCCTAGCTCACTTCTTCAGCTGATATTTACAGATATGAAAGATTTGCCAACTTTAAAGACTCTGGTAACGCAACAGCTTGTATCAAGGATATAAAGCACTCTCAATACAGCTTTTATTGAAAAGCAATCCACCACCGGCGCCAAAATAAGTTTGAAATTGCCAGTTGTGCCAGTTGCCGTTGTGGTTCCCTGGTATCTTGCTTACAAAGTTTGAAAGAGAACAAACAAACTATTAAAACCAATGCGATTGATGAGAGTCTTTCAGATGTTACAAATAAAGTGCATGCATGTAAAACGAATATGTTGAGCGATAATTTCTGGGACAAAGTTACTGGGTTCTACGATTTATTGAAGCCCATATCAGATACAATTACAATTGTGGAAAATGGAACGCCATACATACATGTTTATATAAAAAGAGAGGGAATGAACGTAAGAATGATATTGAAAACTAGAAAAGAGTTTGCAATATATCACAAATTGCTAACTTACTGGATTCTCGCTTCAAAGGTTGCGAAGCTGAAGCAGAATCCACGGCTATAGAGCAAATTTATAATGCTGCAGAGAAGATTCCAGACATCAACAAGGATAAACTATTAGCAGAGCTTGCAAACTACATTTCAAAACAAGATTTCTTTCTAAAATTTCTTTGTGGTCATCGGTGAATAAGTTGGCACCCATTGCTTGGTGTGCAGGGCTTTGTAAATGAACAGATTTATCTAAATTAATAACAAAACGATATAAAAGTTAGGCACAGGGTAATGTCGCAGCGCTATGGCAGTCGGCCTTTTTGGACGCTGGCCAAGCAGATTGGAAGGAACTTCTCACATAGTAGCCTTCCAACACTTACTTGTCAGGATGGAACGATTGTAACAGACTCAAAGGCCAAGGCGGAAGTGCCTGCCTATATCTTTGCTGACAACTCCACCATGGACCCCCCCCCCCAACGCCCAAGTCCCGTCGGTTCAAAGGGTTCCCTACACTATGCGGGAAGTAACATTCCTGCATAAGACCGCTCTTGTCGCTTGTCATCAACAAAGCTTCTGGTCCGTACCTGATTCCTGCCATTGTACTGAAGAGGTGTGCAGCGGAGCTTTCTTCAGTTCTTTCGCGTCACTTCCAGATATCTTATGAATCCGGCTCCTTCCCAGAAAACTGTAAATTTGCTCATATCCAACCCATCAAAAAAAAAGGATCTAAGACCGACCCTTACAACTTCAGGCCTATTGCTCTGCTTTCGCTTATACACCTAAGGGACTACCTCGAACGTCACGGCTTGATTAGCGACATGCAGTATGGTTTCCGGCACCAGCGATCCACAAGGGACCTCTTAGCTTACGTCACGCAATTGTGGAGTAAACTCATCCAGTCTTATGGTGAGGTTCATGTCGTTGCTCTTGATATCACGAAAGCGTTCGATCAGCTATGGCACGCTGCCCTCTTATGCAAACTTTCATACTATGGCCAGAAAAGCTTTGCAGATGGTTTGCTGACTTTCTGTCTGGCCGCAAGATATCCGTCGTAATTGAGGGGTTCTCCTCTTCATCCCACAACGTCAACGC